CACACACACACACACACACACACCCACCCACCCACCTGCACACACACACACACACACACACACACACACACACACACACACACACACACACACACTACATGTTGTAAACGAGGGTGTACTAATACTCCAATTTATGATTTTTTGTATTAATATAATGTTATCGACTAAGAAGGAAATACTGAATACTCGGGGAAAGGAAGGAACTATTATGTAGTGTCTGACGGTGGTGGGTCGTCGTCTCCAGCAGCTGAGGGAGTAGTGAGGCATCAGTTTATGAGGGTGATGAGACGTTTGAGTTCGAAGCCAAAGAGGAAGTGAGAAACACATATAAATCAAACGTATTGCGTCATTCTCGAACTCCCTACGATATTTCCTCCCCAGGTTTTTATAAATGTTGTGGTGAATTTGTCTATTTCATTCTCTTGTTATTGTTGTTGTTTGTTACGACCTTTATATCTACATAGTCCTCAACATTCACTTTTTATCACATTTCTGTTTAATTATTGACTCGATTGTATAGTTAAGTCTTATCACCATCTGTCACAATAGCTGAGTGATAGTGATTCCCGTGTGGTGTGGTGAGCAGGGAGCCACAGACACTCACCCGCCACAACTACACCCAAGAGAAAGTATTGATGGCTCACGTGTGATAACTTCTCTAAATCACTTAATACAAAAAAAAAATAAAGGGTAATTTTTACAGAAAACTAGGTTGCCATCCATCCTCATATTCACCCATCCACCCGCCCGCCCACTCACCCACCCACCCACCAGCCCGCCCGCCCACCCGCCCATCTTCCCAACTCTAATTGGAGCTAAATATAAGATTTTGGTAAGGGTTAATATGATCAAGATGTAATTGGCTTCTGTAATCACTGCTTCACGTCACTGGACACGAGATACCTGACCAAGAACTCTTTTACTCCTGAGGGAAGCTGAAGATGTGGCGGTAAATGGGATTACCGTGAGGGTGAGATGGTACAGAGGGAGAAAGACACTAAGCGAGATGATTGTGTATATCTCTCACTCTCACTCTGGCGCTATAGTGAGGAGTGACAACGTCTGGGTATTAGTTCTTTCGGTCCAGGTCTTAGTGTCACAAGAGGCAGATATATGAACGTTTTCTTGGGAGTCACACACAAAACACACACACACACAAGACAAACAATTCGGTATTTTGTTTTTAGTGTGGTCGCGAGTTCATCCTGTCTCGTCCTTCACAAATGAAGCCGCCGCTCACCTCCTTGACGCTCCACATGGCTGACTCACTGTGTTCTGGTTCCCTGACGTCCCTCCATCAATTTTCCTGAAGATGCTTCCCTAAGTTTACGTCCATATATAATTGGGTTTTGTATACCTTAATGTTGAATCAGGTAAGATTCCTAATTCACCCGAGACTGACCATCTCAACCCCTTCCCTACCTCATAACGCCTCAAATGTTACCCCTTTCCCTGTAATTTACCAACCCTGAAGTATGTTCTCCCCTCACGGACGCACAACACCCGTCCTGCTCCCTCCTTACTTCTGCTCTTCCTATTCATGGCGTCATCGTCTCGAGCAGCACTCCACATTTGAGATTCTCCTTCCCTCGTCCCCTCGTCACTCCACAAGCCTCTGCCATTCTCCTCTCCACTTGTACCCCTACCACCACCACCAACACCACATAACAGCCATGGCATCCCCTTCTCTCTCCATCAACTATAATATCAGGCACCCCTGACCCTCATATCGCCTTCCCTGGAGGCATGCCGGCCTCCTCTTCCCCTTCGTCGCCGCCACATAAGGCCATCTTTAACTCACGGTGGTCAGCGTCGCCCGTGTATATACAAGACCGTGAAAGAGACCCTTGTAAGGCGGAGTAGGCCTGTAGACGTGTTTATGTCTAGGATAAAATGTTGAATGTGGGCCGGCGGGGCGGGTGAATGGCCGCCGAAGGGCTTCTAGCGGGAGGTTCTCCGGACGACTCCCATGTCTTTTTATCATCGTCTGATAAAGTATTAAAAGCCACTGGCAGCGGCTGGGAGGGACAGCGCTGATGACGGACGCCCCTCGTGTATAGAGCTGGCACAGTCTTAAGGCAAAAGAGGAAAATATACTTTATTCGCTTTACGTCGTTTCATTATATGTAATCAAATACGATTTAAAACATAAGCATAAAGACGAGAAAAAACGTCAGACTAGAGGAGAGGCTGTACAGTATAGGTGATTTACTGGCTGCTCTTCTCGGGTATAATATGTTATCAATGTGTTTACATAAAGGCCGTTAGTGCCTACAGCAGCGTATTATATGTAGACAGGCTGTACTTCAGAGGTTAAATAACGAACAACACTCTAGTATGTTTTGGAAATTAAAATACTGTGAATTCTACTGATATAAAGAGAAAAACAAAGATAAATGAGAATATAACACAAACATACCCGAGGCTTATTAACACCAACATACCCGAGGCTTATTAACACCAACATACCCGAGGCTTATTAACACCAACATACCCGAGGCTTATTAACACCAACATACCCGAGGCTTATTAACACCAACATACCCGAGGATTATTAACACCAACATACCCGAGGCTTATTAACACCAACATACCCGAGGCTTATTAACACCAACATACCCGAGGCTTATTAACATACAAAACATACTGCGAGGCTTATTAACACAAACATACCGAGGATTATTAACACCAACATACCCGAGCTATGCTAAACATACCCGAGGCACCAATTATTAACATTAACACCAACATACCGCATAAACATACCCAGGCTTATTAACACCAACATACACCATGCCCGAGGTTATTAACGCAACATACCCGGGCTTATTAACACCGAAAAACATACCCGAAGGCACTTACGGGCTTATTAACACAAACATACCCGAGGCCCGATTATAACAAAACATACGAGGTATTAACACCAACATACCCGAGGCTTATTAACACCAACATACCCGAGGCTTATTAACACCAACATACCCGAGGCTTATTAACCCGAGGCTTATTAACACAAACATACCCAAGGCTTATTAACACCAAACATACCCGAGGCTTATTAACACCAACATACCCGAGGCTTATTAACACAAACATACCCGAGGCTTATTAACACAACATACCCGAGGCTTATTAACACCAGCATACCCGAGGCTTATTAGCAAAAATCATCTATTCTCCTTCCTTAAGTTCGTTTTCAATAGAAAGTACTGAAGTTGTCTCCTCACTATAGAAAATGAAGGTTCTCGTTAAATAAAACACAGCTGGATAACTGCCCAAACGTTGACAGGTCTGATATACTTTACCATCGCTGTGGGTTCCTGACATAGTTCAGAAACGTTGCGAGTCCTGGGATAGTTAGGGAAACGTTTGTGAGGTCTGATTTAGTTTAGGAAATAGTGGGGACTGATATACTGTATAATTATATACTTTAGGAATGTTGAAACCTGATATACTGTAGTCAGAGAACATCGATGGGGGACCTCACACAACAGATATACTTCACGGATAATGTGACACGAAATAATTTTTAATAAACGTTGAATTCCTGATCGTTTGGATACATTATGACCACACTCATTAAATTTTGTGAGGCGTAATCCATAAACATAACAACACCTGATATAATTCTTAAAATATAACTAAACCCCAGTATACTTCTGAGACTTTGAGGAAATTTTTATTTAGATCATGAAATCGAGAAACGCAATCGCTTAGAAACGTCAAAACTTATTTTTTTTCCCTATACGTGATTATCAAGACCAAGAGGAATCACAAATACACATTCTGGTGACGTCGGTGATGAAGACATTTGGAAGGAGGGACGGGTTGTGGATGTGGTCTACGTATGTGTGTGTGTGATGGGGTGATGAGTAGTAGCTAGGGGTGATGGGTGATTGTTGGGGTGAGGGATGGTGGTTGGGGTGGTGGTTGATGGTTAGGGGTGATGGGTGGATGAATGCGTGAGTGGTGAAGTAATGGGGTAGGACGGATAACAAGAGGTGCTGCCCTCCCCAACTCCATCACCACAGTAAGTTACCAGGATTCAGTTCAGAAAATAATCCTTTTCAATCTCAAGACTACTTTTAACACAGGTTTTCCCTCCTACTTTCAAAGAACCATTCTCATCATAAGGAATAACAACATAAATAAAACGCTCCTTTATAAATATAACTCCACAAAATACCAAATAAACAATAAAAAAAAAGGAAACGCTGAGATAGTGTGGTTATGTGGTTCAACGAGAGGAAGGGGAGGCGATCAGGGAGAGGTCGAGGGGAAGACGAGAACTCAGGTGGAAGGGACGTGGTTAAAAGACGCACACATGAAGAAAAAAAATATATAGGGCTGAGAGTGGAAGATAAGGGTGAAGATAGAGGAAGGTGATAGAGAGAACTTTGTGTTTTAACCCTTGAGAATAGTTATTGGAAGAAAAAGATGAAGAGACAATGACAAAAATGTTGAGTGTTAAGGGACGAGAAGGGATAATTATGGGAGGTAGGGAATCAATATTGCTTTGTTGTGGAAATCGACATACACACGGTCACTTACATACAGCTACAAAGCAGACATACACCAAAATACACACACACACACACACACACACACACACACACACACACACACACACACACACGACTAAAAAAAAGTACTGTAAAGTGGACCGCGCAGAGAATTTTTGAATAAAAGCTGACAGGTCTTCCCAGAGCAGCTAAAAGCTAATTTGCGAAGTTTACAAACATGTCAAGAATTCTCCATTCAAGCGCCACAAGTGGATAACACATCGTCCACTGTAATTTTTTGGGGACGTAAAAATTACATGAGTGAACGAAATAAAGACAACACGATGGCGGGTGGAGTTATATAGCCTCACCTGACACGACTCATTCTATAAATATTTAAGAAGAATACATAAATTATATCAGGATTTCATTGCTAAGTGAATTAACTCGGCTCTAGCAGTTGTTGTTACCATGAATTACACATTAATCTACTCAACTATGAATAACACTTCCATCTACTCAACTATGAATAACACTTCCATCTACTCAACTATGAATAACACTTCCATCTACTCAACTATGAATAACACTTCCATCTACTCAACTATGAATAACACTTCCATCTACTCAACTATGAATAACACTTCCATCTACTCAACTATGAATAACACTTCCATCTACTCAACTATGAATAACACTTCCATCTACTCAACTATGAATAACACGTCCATCTACTCAACTATGAATAACACTTCCATCTACTCAACTATGAATAACACGTCCATCTACTCAACTATGAATAACACTTCCATCTACTCAACTATGAATAACACTTCCATCTACTCAACTATGAATAACACTTCCATCTACTCAACTATGAATAACACTTCCATCTACTCAACTATGAATAACACGTCCATCTACTCAACTATGAATAACACTTCCATCTACTCAACTATGAATAACACTTCCATCTACTCAACTATGAATAACACGTCCATCTACTCAACTATGAATAACACGTCCTTCTACTCAACTATGAATAACACGTCCATCTACTCAACTATGAATAACACTTCCATCTACTCAACTATGAATAACACTTCCATCTACTCAACTATGAATAACACTTCCATCACTCAACTATGAATAACCTTCCATCTACTCAACTATGAATAACACTTCCATCTACTCAACTATGAACAACACGTCCATCTACTCCTATGAATAACTGTCCATCTACTCAACTATGAAATAACACGTCTTCTACTCAACTATGAATAACATGCCATCTACTCAGCTATGAATAACTCTTCCAACTATCAATAGATAACGCTTTTATCTACTCAACTATGAATAACACTTCCATCTACTCAACTATGAATAACACGTCCTTCACCAACTATGAATAACACTTCCATCTACTCAACTATGAATAACACGTCCATCTACTCAACTATGAATAACACGTCCATCTACTCAACTATGAATAACACTTCCATCTACTCAACTATGAATAACACGTCCATCTACTCAACTATGAATAACACGTCCATTTACTCAACTATGAATAACACTTCCATCTACTCAACTATGAATAACACTTCCATCTACTCAACTATGAATAACACTTCCATCTACTCAACTATGAATAACACGTCCTCTACTCAACTATGAATAACACGTCCTTCTACTCAACTATGAATAACACGTCCATCTACTCAACTATGAATAACACTTCCATCTACTCAACTATGAATAACACTTCCATCTACTCAACTATGAATAACACTTCCATCTACTCAACTATGAATAACACTTCCATCTACTCAACTATGAATAACACTTCCATCTACTCAAATAACGAGAATAAATTTATCTGATTCTCGTATAATTGGCGATAAAAAAAAGTGATTTGCCGAAAGATGTAAATTATATTAAGAATCTATCGTTACTAAACATATTCTCTCGTCCACCACACTGGTACAGAGAGGGGAATAACCGAGCCAAGTTTTAATAATATTCGTACAATTTACAGAAGAATGAACAGAAAAATGAAGCCTAAAATTGTTTGTATGTGAACGAATATATAAGACACCCAAAACGGTCTTGTAGGAGGACATAAACATTGCCTAATTTATCAAGTATCTAATATTATGGCGTAAGCTTACCGCTATTTCTTATTATTATTTTAGTGATTCACCCACCGGAGGTATTTAACACCGTTGGCTAATTATTATTTTCTATAACGGTAAACTTTTAGATACTTTCAGAATAAACGCTCAGTCGTATGTTTTATTTGTTATAACTGCTAGAGACAAAAATGTTCGAACCATCAAACGGATGAACAAGCTTACAAGAGTGTTAGCTTGGAGAATGTGTGTTAAGTGAGCGTGTTAACGTGTGTGTGTGTGTGTGTGTGTGTGTGTGTGTGTGTGTGTGTGTGTGTGTGTGTGTGTGTGTGTGTGTGTCAATTTGCAAGAAATATCGAAACAATATAAATACATACTGTAAAAGACAAACCGGTGATAAAGATGTCCACATTACACACGACTTTCCACAAGAGTGAATTCTTACAATAGAAGCACCACAAGGACAGGAGTGTTGAGAGATATTGCAGCGCATATTATAAACTTAACATCTTTGTTATAATTCTTGTACAACTATTATACCAATTGTTGAGAAGTTATATGTGAGTTATTGATGACTTGTATAACATCATAGATTATTGTTGCTGGGGGTTCAAGGGTTACAGAAACAGCTCTTGGTCCAACCTAAAATCTTGTAGAAGGCTCGTCTCTTCCCCACTTCCGTTTTACACCTCCCTCTTCTAAACCCCTTCCAACTCTCCCCCTTCTACATCTCCCCTTCTACCTCTCCCTATTCCACAAAACACAAACACAGCAAAAAATAAACAAACGAAGTAAACACGGCAAACAAACAGCAAAGAGCCACATTGGCAAACATAAACATAACAAAAACATACAAGAACACATAAACTGAGCAGAATCCAATAACAAATAAAATGACAGAACACTTCCAATTCTATGATAGGATAACATTAATGACAGGAAGATGAAATCGACTAATTATAGAATCGCGTGGAAAAGTAATTAATGAAATAATTTTCAAACTAATGAGAGGAGTCATGTATCAATATAGTTAATTGCATGGGCTGTATAAAAGTAATTAAGGTGATCATACGTGGGAAATTATAATGTTGAATAAAACACTAAGTAATTGTTGGTAGGGACTCACGAATTACTTAAGTATTGGTAAATATTAGCAGGATTATATACACCAAATTCGCTCGTGGTTTAATATAACAATTTCGCTACCAACTTAAGTCATTTTGCGTAATCACGTTCGAAAATAATTTTGGATATAGTATACGCGAAAATTACGGGAATATACGCCATACTATAACAAAGTGCAGACAGCAAGCTCGTTAGTGGGGGTTGATATAATACTATTGTTATTACGCTCAATTACCAAAATCATATACGCAATCACCTTTTTTTTTTAAATATCTCTCGAAATTTGTGCAAAAAATAAAGTAACTCATGGGAATATACGCAAAAAAAAAACAACAACTGCAATCACATCTGAAAATGCTATTCGGGACCGTTGTGGGGAAATTATTGTTGGGATCATGCGGTAAAATTATTATCGAGGGGTAGAGTGGTGTTCAGTGGTCATTCCATTAGTGGCCACCAACCCCTGGCTAGGAATTGCAAGTAATGTAATATTCTGCTCGTTACTTAGCTATTACGTTCGTGTACACGTTGCCTTGTCTGTGTGTGTGTGTGTGTGAGTGTGTGTGTGTGCGTGCGCGCGTAATAACAGTAGCACCAGCACCATTATTAGGTGCCATGGACAAATGCACCAATGTATACAACACACACACACACACACACACACACACACACACACACACACACACACACACACACACACACACACACACACACAAGATCTACTTCACTTGTGGGTTTAGCCTTAATAGACAGACGTTTAATTTACTTATTTTTCCATCAGTTTTATTACTCTAGGTTGGGAAGTTTTTATTTGTGCAATTACATTACAGTCACCGATCACACCAGCCTAAACATAAAGTGTCATGTTTTAAACAATTTGAGCTGTCATTTACATGTTCTTCTGTCAATCTCTCTCTCTCTCTCTCTCTCTCTCTCTCTCTCTCTCTCTCTTTATTTTCGCTTAATATCCATGTCCATTCGTCACTATTTCTTCCCGTTTATTTTTTATCCCATCTTTTCTTCTTCCTTTGATTATGTAATTACGGTTTCGAAAAGATTCATACCGTCACCCCCTTCGCTTCCTCTCATCATTTCTTCTCATTCCTTTTATCCTTATTCTCTCACCCTTTTCTCTCCTTTCTATTTCTCCTAATTCTCGTTTCCTATCTCCCTCATTTATTGTCCACTATTTTCTCGAAACAGTCACCTAATCTCACTCTTGTTCTCCTATTTTCTGGTCTTTCTCTTTATTTATCTTTATCACATTCTCACACGTCTCCTTTACGTTCTTTTCTTCTCTTATCCCTCCCTGTTATCCTCCCCCCTTCCATTCACTCCCTTACCTCTCTCTCCATTCCACTCACTCCCTTATCTCTTCCCCTTCAACCCACTTCCTTATCCCTTCCCTTTCCACTAACTCCTCCTCCTAACCCCTGATCTTCACCCCCTCATACTCACTCCCTGACCTCTCTTACTTAACTCCCCACCTGCCTTAACCACCCCTACGTTCCCTCCCTGTCCTGCCTCACTGCAACCAGAGGTCAGACAGCAAATGCATGAAGTTTCCAGAACCAGCCAATAACGGGGGGAGAGAGGGGGAGAGAGATAGAGAGAGAGAGAGAGAGAGAGAGAGAGAGAGAGAGAGAGAGAATGTGTCAGTTACTTATGCACGTATGGGAGGAGATAAAAAAAAAAGCGTACAGCACACACACCTCATCCACAGGCTCTACCCCAATCAGGAGGTGGGCGTGATCCGCTCGTTAGATCCCCATCCTCCAATCATTGATTAACGAGGTTCTTAATTACTAGCCCACCGCAGGCATTGGCTATCGGAAGAGATTAACCAAAGTGTATTTAATCACGCTGATTCACGACCAAGATTATTTTGCATGAAACCCAACTATTATCATGGCAACTTTCACAATTACTTAGGAATTATCAGCTTATAATGTCAGGGTAATTGGCAATCAGGGTCAAGCTGGCGTGAATTGTGCGTCAAGGGGTCAAGCTGCGGCCGCCTATTAATTACCCTATTAGACACTATTGTAAATATGAACACATCTTTGCTGCCGTGTGGTGTGTGTTGTGTCGCCCTGCCCGGAGACCTGATGGTTTTCTTCCACAGATTGTGTTGGAGTGTTGTTTGTTTTAGAGAGGTGGTGTGTGTTGCAGGGGGAGGGGGCTCGTGTGTGTGGTAGGACGTGTAGAATGTGTGCGTGGGGGGTGGGGTGGGGGTTGCGAGCTGTGTGCGGTTGTGAGCTGTGTGCGGTTGTGGGCTGTGTGGTTGTGAGCTGTGGGCTGTGTGTGTGGTTGTGGGCTATATGTGGTTGTGGGCTGTGTGTGTGGTTGTGGGCTATGTGTAGTTGAGGTATGTGTGAGGGAGGGCGTCTGTGTTGGGGGGTGTGTTGGAGGACGTGTATGCTGGAGGACTTGTAAGTGGGGAGCGCGTAGGTGGGGGACGTGCTGTGTTAGGAGCAGGTGTGTGCATGTATGTGTATTTCTAACCAACGTCAAACAAACTTCATATACATTCAATAAAATCCTAAATACCCCATAAGCTGAGGCCACCAAACTCACCAGGAGTCAAACCAGCACAAAGGCGTGAACATTATACGTAGTAATAACCGGAGTTGACAGCTACACCAGGGCGATACCGCTATGTGTAGGCTGATAATATAGCCTACCTGGCAAGCTTGATTAGTGACGTACAGGGCAGGTGGGTAAGGGGAGTGGGAGGGGAGTGGGCGGAGAGTGGGCGGGGAGTGAGTGGGAAATTGACGAGGAGTGGGGTCGGAGAAGGAGTATTTTCTTTCCTGTGGGAGTGCGTATGGGTGTAGGTATGCAGTAGTACTATACTATACATGGAAGAGTATACAAAAATCGCCAAATGTT